TTATATAATTTAAGAAGTGATCTCCCTGACTAGTCTAGTACCCAGCTGGCACTATACATAGTTATTACTATATTATTGACTATATTCCTTATGCTTTACTTACACCCCCATGAGCATTTCGTAACTACCGATTTGTACTTCTTAATCCTTCACCTTTCACCCTGTCCCTGAACCCCCGCCCATCTCACCCCAATAAATCTAGTATCTATCTGACACCATATGTAATTATTACAATATTATTGACCATATTCCTTATGTTATACCCTACATCCCCATGACTGCTTTGTAATAACCAGTTTATACTTCTTAATCCCTTCCTCTTTTTCACCCACCACCCCAACTGCCCTCCCATCTCTGGCAACCATCAAAATGTTCTCTGTATCTATGAGTCTGTTTCTGTTTTGTTTATTTTGTTCTTTAGATTCTGCATATAAGCAAAATCACATTGCATCTGTCTTTCACTGTCTCACATACTCCACTCAGCACAATACCCTCCAGGTCTATCCATGCTGCTACAGATGGCAAGAACCCATTGCCTCCCCTGGCCAAACAGTCTTCTACTGTATCTGTATGTATCACCTCCTCTTTATCTACTCTTTTATTGATGGACACCCAAGCAACCTCCACATCTTGGCCATTGTAAACAATGTTGCAATGAACATATAGATGCACATGTCTCCATGGTTTTCTTTGGATAAATACCAGGAAGTAGGACTATTGGGTCTTTCTTTGTCTCTTCTTATAGCTGTTGTTTTAAAGGCTATTTTGTCTGGTATAAGTATTGCTGCTCCAGCTTTTTTTTTTTTTTCATTTCCATTTTTATGAAATGACTTTTTCCATCTTTTTACTTTCAAGTTTGTGACTTTCAATCTGAAATGAATCCCTTATAGGCAGCATTTGTAAGGATTTTGTTTTCTTATCCATTCATCCCTCCTATGTTTTTGATTGGAGCATTTAATCCACTTACATAGAAAGCAATTGTTGATAGATATGTAGTTATTACCATTTTATTATTCATATATATATATATTTTTTCCATCTTAAGTCTCATTCCTTGTAATACGGGTTTGGTGGCGATGAACTCCTTTAACTTTTTCTTGTCTGGGAAGCTCTTTATCTGTCATTCAATTTTAAATGTTAGGCTTGCTGGGTACAGTACCCTTGGTTGTAGGTCCTCACTTTTCTTCATTTTGAATATTTCATGCCAGTCATTTCTGGCTTGCAAAATTTCTCTTGAGATATCAGGTGACAGTCTCATGGGAGCTCCCTTTTAGGTAACTAACTGCTTTTCTGTTGCTGATTTTATGATTCTTTTTGCCTTTAACCTTTGCCTTTTTAATTATAATGTGTCTTGGTGTGGGCCTGTTTTGGTTCATTTTGTGTTTGTGACTCTCTGCGCTCTCTGGGTTTGTACGTTTATTTCCTTTGCCAAGTTAGGAAAGTTTTCAGTTATTATTTCTTCAAATAGGTTGTAAATCCCTTACTTTCTCTCTTTTTCTTCTGGTAACCCTATAACGTGAATGTTGTTATGCTTGATGTTGTCCCAGACGTCTCTTAAACTATCCTCATTTTTTGGAGTTTTTTCCTTTTGCTGCTGCAGTTGGGTGTTTGCTGCTGACTTGTCTTCCAAATCACTGATTTGATCCTCTGTTTCATCTAATTTGTTGGTGATTCCTTCCAGTACCATCTTCATTTTAGTTATTGTATTCTTCATTTCTGAGTGTTTTTTTTTTATGGTTTCTATGTCCATTTTTATGCTTGCTGTCTCTTTGTTGAAGTTCTCATTAAATTCCTTGAGCATCCTTATAACTATTTTTTTAAAAAAATATTTTTATTGGAGAATTGTGGTGATGGGAACAGCGCTGAGGAATTGGGGGGAAGGGGAACAGACAAGTTGCTGTCCTTTTGTTCTTCAGGCTAGTTGTGGAGGACATCGCTTCACTGATCGATGTTGGTATTATCATTGCATTCTTCCCGGGTGAGGCAATTGCTCACTGGACATTGGACGGCCACTCATGGCGGCTCACGGCAGCTCATGCTGGCTGCTGGCCGCTCACACTGGCTGCCAGCCACTCACAGTAGCTTACAGCAACCCACTGCAGCTCCACTGCAGCCTATGCTGTTGCTGGTGACTCACGGCAGCCCAGCTCCAGGTAGAGTTGTTGTTCACAATCTTAGCTGTAGAGGGCACAGTGTCACTGGTCCTCATGTGGGATCCAAACCAGGGCCCTGCAGCTCAGAGCTGACACTCCCAAAGCCAACTCTTAACCAACGCGCCACTTGGCCGGCCCCTAAAAGCACTACAGTTTTTACTCACTCCCTCCTCATTTATGTTTTTGTCCTTAGTTTTTGCTACTTAGTGTGTGTGTGCCTGTGTCTCATAATTTATTGTAGTTACACATGATCTTCTTATTTTTGTCTTTTAGCCTTGTAATGGCTTTATCGTTGGTTGATCTACTGCTTTTACTGTTTGCCTTTGTCAGTGAGGATTTTTTTCTTTCCTGTATTTTCTAGTGCACATTTTTTACCTTTTCTACTTAAAGAAGTCCTCTTCATATTTTCTGTAATATTGGTTTAGTGGTGATTAACTCCTTTAGCTTTATCTTGTCTGGAAAGCTGTTTATCTCACCTTTAATTCTAAATGATAGCCTTGCTGGGTAGAGCAATCTTGACTGTACGTCTTTGCCTTTCATCCCTTTGTTTTGTGCCATTCCCTTTTGGTCTGCAAAGCTTCTGTTGAGAAATCCGCTGACAGTCTTATGGGAACTCCCTTGTAGGTAATTAACTGCCTTTCTCTTGCTACTTTTAAGATCCTTTGTCTTTAACCTCTGATTGTCTAACTTTTAATTATGATGTGTCTGGGTGTGGGCCTCTTTGGATTCATCTTGTTTGGGACTCTTGGCACTTCCTGGGCTTGTAAGTCTATTTCCTTTGCCAGGTTAGGGCAGTTTTCAGTATTTCTTCAAATTAATTTTCAATTCCTTGTGCTGTCTCTTGTCCTTCTGGTCCCCCTGTGATGCGGATGCTGGTACACTTCATTTTGTCCCAGAGACCTCTTAAACTGTCTTCATTTTTTATATTCTTTTTTTCCTCTGCTATTCCAACTGGGTGTTTTCTGCTACTTCATCTCCAGATTGCAGATTCGATTCTCTGTTTTATATGCTGTTGATTTCATCTAATGTATTCTTCATTTCAGTTATTGTATTCGTTCCTGACAGTTTTTTTTATGTTTTCTGTCTCCTTTTTTATATTTCCTATCTCTTTGCTGAAGTTCTCCATGAATTCATCCATTCGTCCCCTATGACCATTGAGCATCCTTATAACCATTGTTTTGAACTTTGTATCTGGTAGGTTGCTCGTCTCCATTTTGTTTAGTTCTTTTCCTGGAGTTTTGTCCTGTTCTTTCATTTAGGATATGTTTTCTTTGTCTCCTCATTTTGGCTGCCTGTCCGTGTTTTTTTCTATGTATTAGGTAGATCTGCTACATCTTCCAGTCTCGGCTGAGTGACCTGAAGTAGTAGGTGTCCTGTGATGCTCAGTGGCATAGTGTCCCTGTTCACCTGAGCTGAGTGTTCCAGGCGTGTTCCTTGTGTGTGCCCTCCTCCTATTTAGTTGAGTCTTGGTTCCTGTTGGCATGTCAGTGGGTTGGACTGGCTATCAGGTTTACTGGCTGTAAGGGTGCCTGTGACTACTGCGGATGAGGTGTTGTGCTGGGGCTAACCCCACAGAGCAGAGTTGTTTTAGCAGAGCTCTGGTGCCAGCTGAATGCACCCTTTGGGTGTGTTGTTTGTGGAAGTGGTTGGGTGATGCTGTGTTGTGATCTGAAGCTTATCACTCAGTGTGTTGATTCTAGAGCCTCTAAGGAGGGGCTTCGGTGCATGTCAAGTTTAGCCACCGCTTATGCCTGTGATTGGGTTCTGGAAGGAGTTACAAAGTGATCTGTGGTTCATTGCCACTTTTGCTCGTCTTGGATGTGCTTGGGAGAGGCTCTTCTGCTATGTGAGGCTGGCTGCCACTAATGTTGGGCTTGGGACTCTTTGGTGGGCATCAGAATGTGAGCTGAGGTCAGCTACCACTTGTGCTTTTTGTGTTTGCTTAGTTGAGGGTGTGCTCCAAGTCAAGACTGGCAGCTACTTATAACAGGCTTGTGGCTACCTGATGGGAGTTACTGTGCAAGTTAAGACCATTTGCCACTTGTGCCAGGCTTGGATCAACTTAGCAAGAGGTACAGATCACACTGACGCCAGCAGCTGCTTGTTTGGGGTTTGTGGACCTTTGAGAGATTTTATGAAAGTCTGCAGCACGAGCTGAGACAAGCTGCTTGTGTGGAGGAGCTACAGGAAGAGGTCTGCTGGGAGTGTGAGTTGGGTGTGGTTGGATGTCAGGGAATCACCAGGGTAGGGTGAATGCTGTTAGCCAAGTTAATGGAGAGTTCATTTTCAGCACCAGCCTGCACCTGGCCATCTTTGTGGGAATAGGGTTCAAGAAAGGAACAATTGCACCAGCCAGCACTTCCATGTTCATAGAGAGTTGTGCTGACCCATGCTTCTCTAGCCCTTGCCCTGAAGCTAGTCATTTTAGTTTCTCCCTGTATATTCGTGTTTTTTTCAAGCATCTGCCTCTGTGCTGGAGCCCAGAGCAAGTGAATCTGGCCTTGGGCCCCTTAAGACCTGCAGCATCTCGGTTTCCAGCAGTCCTCTGACTCACTCGGATGCAGTCCACACTGGTTTCTCACAGCCAGATGTTATGGGGACTTTTTCTCCTAGCACTGGAGCCCTGAGCTGGGGAACCTTTGCTCCTCAGAGAGGAACCTCTGCATCCAGGATATCCCTCCCAATTCTTAATTGCCACACCATGGTGTGGGACCTGCCTGTTCCTCATCTCCACCCCTCCTACCAGTTCCGACATGTTTCTTCTTTATATTCTTCGTTATAGGACTTCTGCTCAGCTGATCTTCAGTGGTTCTCATTATGGTTGTTCTATAATTAGCTATAATTTTGATGTGGTTGTGGGAGAAGGTAAGCTCAGCATTTACCTATTCTGTCATCTTGACTGGATGTCTCCAAAAATACTTTTAATTGAATGCGAATGAAAACATAATGTCAGAATTTAGGGGACAAAAAAAATTATGACATGCAGCTACAGCAATGCTGAGGTGAAAATTTATAGCATTAAAATAATAGAAAATAAGAAAGGTCTTAAACCAGTGAACTAAGCTTCTCCTCTAGGAAACTAAAGAAGAAGGGCAAATTAAATCCAAAGTAAGTCGAGGAAGGAAATAATAAGCAGAAATCAATGAAATTGAAAACAGAAGATGTATAGAGAAAATAAATCAAAGGCTATTTCCTTAAAAAGTCAATTAAATTGATAAACTTCTAGTCAGACTGTCCAAGAAAAAAAAAGACACAAATTACAAACATCAAAAATGAAATTGCAGGGCCAGCTGAGTGGTGCATTGGTTAAGAGCTAGCTTGGGATGCCAGCTCTGAGCAGCAGGGCCCTGGTTCAGATCCCACAGGAGAGCCAGTGACACTGCCCTCTACAGCTAAGATGGTGAACAACAGCTCGACCTGGAGCTGGGCTGCCGTGAGTCGTCGACGATGGCGTAGGCTGCAGCCCNCATCTTAGCTGTAGAGCGCAGTGTCACTGGCCCTCATATGTGGGATCTGAACTGGGGCCCTCTGGCGTCCCAAGCCAGTTCTTAACCAACATGCCACTCGGCCGGCCCATAGCCATCATTTCTTAACGTAATATATAAATATGCCATGAAATGGATATAACTAGGTTACTTAGCCATCTCTCTATTATTGGACTTTTAAGTTCTTTCCAGTAGTTCACTGTACTAGATACAATACAATGAATGTTTTTGCCTGTATAGTTGTTTCCTAAGGAGAGGTTGTAGAGTGAGGTTTAAGACTTGATGAAGATCATCTAGAACTGAAACTTCAGATGTATTTAGACCATTAGACATTTTAGACATCAAGCCTGAATCAGTTCAATGTTTGCATGAAACTTGTAATTTCATATAGCATAGTGGCAATGTCTATATTTTGCTTCTCCTTAGGAACGAAGACCCTTCCTTGCCTCAGAATGTACTGAGCTACCTAAAGCTGAGAAGTGGAGACGACAGGTACATTTTGGGTGAATCTGATCTTAGTAGAAATAACAAGTCTGCAATTGTTTCTTATTATGTAAATGACTCTTAAACCAAAATTCTATGTTTTTTGTTTTTATTTTCTGTTTTCTTAACTAACTTTGAATTATATTTTTCCTGTACTTTTAGACATATTCCAAAGTCATAAAAATTTATTACCTTTTATTTTTTCACAGATCATTGGAGAGATCTCTAAAAAAGTGGCTCAAATTCAGAATGGTAAGCTGATCTGTCTACTTAAAGTGCTTGATTTTCAAATCCACAATTAGACTTGGTGACTTTAACACTCCTCTCTCAATAATCAAGTAGAAAATCAGTAAGGACATAGAAGAACTGAACAACTATAAATGATTTGACCTAGTTGACATTTATAGAGCACTTCACCTAACATAAAAGAATACATTTTCTTTTTTTAAGAGCACATAGAACATTCACCAAAATAGAATGTATTCTGTGCAATAAAACAAATGTTAGCAAATTTTAAAATAATTAAAATCATACAAAATATGTTCTCTAATTATAATGGAATTAATGTAGAAACCAGCAATAGAAAGACATCCAGAAAATGCCTAAGTATTTGGAAATTAAACAACATACTTGTAAACAAACCATGTGTGAAACAGGAAACCCAAAGAGATTAGAAATTTTTTGGGGAGGTGCATGGGTATTTATTTTTATTTTTTAAATAATTAAAAAAAATTTTCAATTACAGTTGATGTACATTATTGCATTAGTTTCAGGTATATAACATAATGATTACACACTCATATAAGTTACACAATGGTCAACCAAATAAGTCTAGTACTCACCTGACACCAAATGTAGTTATTACAATATTATTGACCTCTAATAAGCCATAAGTTTTACCTCTTTTGAACTTGATATATCAGTGGAATCATGCATACTCTTTTCCGTCTAGTGGCCATGGATATTTGTGTAGTGTCCAGTTTGGGACTATAACAAATAGGGCCACTGTGATCATTCTTCTTCACATGCAGTCACTTCTGTTGCATATATTCTGAGGAGTGCAGTTACCAGATCATAGGGTATACGTGTTTGTCTTGAGTAGATAAAGCCAAACAGTTTCCCAAAGTGTTTGGACAAGTTCTCACATCTATCTGTAGCAGCTGAGAGGTTGCATTAAAAGTTTCCAGGCAGCTCCACATGACAGCTGGTGTGGGGAGAGGACGGTATAGGGCATCGGACACAGAGACTGGCAAACAGTGGACTCCCACCACGTCTTGGGAGTCTCTTCTTCCTGTACTTCCAAGGCCATATTATTTCCTTTGGTTATTAGTAATCTCTATTGACTGACATGCAGCCTCTGAGTGGACCTTTTTCTATATGTGGTATGTGTTTTTAATTTTTCAATTACACTTGACATACAATATTATATTAGTTTCAGGTGTACAACATAGTGATTAGACATTTATGTAACTTGTAAAGTTACCAACCCACCTGACACCATACATAGTTATGATATTATTGACTATATTCCCTCTGCTGTACTCTATGTTACTGTAACTATTTTTGTAACAGCCAAATTGTACTTCTTAATCCCTTCCCCTTTTTCATCCATGTCCCCAAACCCCTTCCCATCTGGCAACCATCAGTTTGTTCTGTGTATCTATGAATTTCTTTCTGATTTATTTGTTCATTTATTTTGTTTTTTAGACTCCACATATAAGTGAAATCATATAGTATTTGTCTTTCTCAGTCTGACTTATTTCACTTAGCATACTACCCTCTAGGTCCAACCATGTTATTGCAAATTGCAAGATTTCATTCTTTTTCTGTCTGAATAATATATTTTTTTAAAAAGATTTTTATTGGGGAATTGGGTGATGGGAACAGCGCTGGGAATATGGGGGAAGGGGAACAGACAAGTTGCTGTCCTTTTGTTCTTCAGTCTAGTTTTGGAGGATGTTGCTTCACTGGCCCAAGTTGGCACCATCATTATGCTCTTCCCAGGCAAGGCAGATCAGTCGCTGGCTTCTGGTCGGCTGCTCACGGCAGCTGCTGGCCGCACACGCTGGCTGCTAGCTACACACAGTAGCCTATGGCAACTCACTGCAGCAGGGGCTGCAGCCTACACTATCACTGGTGACTCACTGCAGCCCAGCTCCAGGTTGAGCTGTTGTTCAGCATCTTAGCTGTAGACAGCAGTGTCACTGGCCCTCATATGTGGGATCCGAACCTGGGCCCTCTGGCGTCCCAAGCCAGCTCTTAACCAACATGCCACTCAGCTGGCCCTGAATAATATTCTATTGTATATATGTACCACATCTTCTTTATCTTGTATCTATGGGCACTTAGATTGAGTCCATATCTTGGCTATTTTAAATAATGCTGCAGTGAACATAGGGGAGCATTTATCTTTTTGAATTAGTGTTTTGGATTTCTTCGGATAAATACCCAAAAGTGGAATTGCTGGGTCATACTGTAGTCTTATATTTTAATAGTTTGAGGCACTACATACTGTTTTGCATGGTGGCTGCACCAATTTGCAATCTCACTAACAATGCACAAGGGCTCTCTTTTCTGCACATCCTTGTCAACACTTGTTGTTTGTTGATTTATTCATGATAGCTGTGCTGACAGGCATGAGGTGATGTCTCATTGTTGTTTGAATTTGTATTTCCCTG